AAAAAAAAAAAAAAAAAAAAAAAAAAAAAAAAAAAAATGAGTGCATTTTGTCATGACGAATTTGCCAACTATCCTGAATTCATCATCACATATTGTACAGAAATACTGATGGTCAACTCTATACTCCCAAAATATGTATAATCAATTGTGTTTCATTTAAAGAAAGAAGAAATTAAAAGGAAAAGAGAAAAGAAAAAACAAGGGTCTGTGGGTCTGATAAAGTCATTCCCATCATGTTTACCTGCCTAGTATTCTCTGATAAAATGTTCCGGAATAGGTAACCTATATTTATGCTATGCGGAAAACATCGCTCTTTATGTCTTTCAGAAAATGAACTCAAAACCCATATTCATGATTTCTGATTTGAAAACAAAGAAATAAAGTTCAGGAGAATATAGGATTAAATGGCCTTTCACCCACACTCTATGCACAATCTTACCTGTACACACACAGCACAGACATGAAAAAGCTCTCTTGGCTCTCTGCTTCACACCATCCCTCCTCCACAATGAAAGATCTAGCTGTCCCTGAAATATTTGTCCCTGAAATGTCATTACAGGACGGAGCAGTCTGTGAAGGTGAGTGCTACAGAGTAAAGAGGCACCCACCGTTGGTTTTTCTCAGCTCCTCCACAAGGCAGCGGGCTTCCTCTTGAACACGGTCCTCAATAGTCCTCTTTCCCATCCCCAAATTCCGCAGGGTCTTGAGCGAGAAACGCCGGGTCTCTTTCCATCTCTTTCCATTGCTAAAAATGATTCCTAACAGACAGGGAGCAGAAACTAGGAGGGAGATCCCAGGCAAGGAGGAGCAAATGGACACTTGGCAGCCACATGTCTGGGCCAAGCTCTGCCTCAGAATTTCTTCACATCTCTGTTTTCAGCTCTCCCACCCCCATTAACCATGCTGACACAGGCACATGCACACCTACCATGTCCTTTACTAACTCTGTCCATCACTGGGTGACTGCCTCTTCCAGAAAACTCCTCTCCCATATCGATCAGGGCTTCCTTCACTGCTTCATATCCATGCAACACGACCGTGGGCTTCATGCCAAAATAAAGAGTGAACACAGGGCCATGGACTTTTGAGAACTGGGAAGGGAGATGAAAATCATAGCGAAATAAGTGATGATATGGTTCATATATTGTGCCTGATTCAGACATATTGTAATTTCATTCTCTATACTTTTATTCTGCTATGCACAGCTTCAAATATTTCTGGTTTATTTATAAATATGACTGTGATTTTTATAGTTGCCACATATAGATGACCTATGATGTGTCATACAATGCGCAAACAATTGGTAAACAGATTACAAATAATCCTCACACCAACACATTCAGCAGGTATCTGTATCCTGTTATAAAACAAAAAGCTGAATTTAGAGAATTTTAAAGTCATTCTCAGTGCCTCACAGTTAATTCACAGAAGACCAAAATTTGATCCTCTCCTAATTCAACGTCTGATTCTGAGCAATTTATCAGCCACGTGTGCTCACCTTGAGACCATTACCCACCTGATGGCTTCAGGATCCACTTTTACCACAACGATCTTCACTCAGTAGCCCTGTGATAAACACTAGCAATCTTTAGTTATAAAGTCACCCCAGGTGATTCTAATGACCATCCCAGTTTGGGACCTGCTGGTATTACCAGCAAAGACACAGTGAGCACCACAGGGCAGCACCAGGACATCCAGCATCTCCTGGAAGAACAATTTCTAACATCCTCCAGCAATTTTGGACACAGACGGCAGGTTTGTGCAGAAACCAAAAAACTTCTGATACCACCAAGTCATTCACTTATGCTGGTCCTGAGCCTATAGCTATTTCCTTGACATCAGAGAAAATAAATTGATTCTTCAGAGAAGGAAAATTTCCAAGGCTACTAGGGCTAAAAGTGGAGTGGGGGGGGAGGGGGAGGGAGACTGGGGGATTACTGGGTGGGGACAAGGGGTATGAAAGTAATTTCTGGTAATGGGTATGCCCTCAGTATGAATCTGTCCCTAATATCATGGGCAGGAGGGGTGACAATTAGCTTTGTATCTCATGAATACATTTTTTTTAATAGAAGAGAAAAAAAAGGAAAAAAAAGAAAAAAAAAATTTCCATGGCTATTGTCAATAAAACACAGGAAATTATAACTGATGACATTTTAATGAAATCTCAAATCACAAACACATGCTTCCTTTATCATTTACCTTCAGCAGGAAAACACAGAAAATGGCTATAAAACAAAGGGAAGCAGCACTCCCAGTGTTTGCCACTTTATTACTTTAATTCTACCACACAAGAGCCTAAGTGTTTCTTTACTCACAAAATTCATTACTTTCTTTCACTATTTCTGAAAAAGAGAGACTGAAATAGGCAACAGAAACATCAATGTTTATAGGGAGCCTTTTGCTTTATGATGATCAATTATGTATTTTTATTATATACACTATTGAAAAATTATAGTACTTATTTATGATGTACAAAATGTATTATGATTTTTAATACAATGGAGAATGATTAAATGAAGCTAATTAACATCACCATCCCCTCCAATATTTTACTTTTTTGTGATGAGAATTTTAGATATTTACTCCCTTATTTATATTGAAATGCACAGTACTAAATTTTTACCTAAATCCAGCATACTGTGCAATTGATCTAAAGAAGAATCAGACATTCCTCCTACCTAAGACTTCATACTACTATGATCTATTACCATAGTGTGTGCTCCCCAAAATATATTTATTCCAAAAATATATTTATTTTAAAGTAGGGGTCAATATACTTACTCTTTGCGAACCACTGAAGGAGCATAAAGCATACTTACATTGCTTAATGATTTGCTGATGTTCTTAACATTTATCTGTAGGATATTTCCAATAATTGGGAGAGGAGTGGGGCCCGGTGGGAGCTTCCCTCTTGCAGAACTCTGTCTCCAGACTGAAAGGAGAAGCAAACAGGAGAGACAGAGCACCAGCACCACAAATGGATCCATTGATGCCTTCTCTTCATATAAGACAACTATGATCTTGCAATCCAAAGCTTTTTATAACAGTTCCTGCTAATTCAGTATGTGCCTCTTTGACATACAAAGCAGTCGGTAAGCTAGATCCACTTATGTGCTGCTGAGTGGACTTTGGCCCAGTGAGAGATAAAAGTAGAATGTTTTAAAATCTTGTTGTTCCTTTCCAGTGCTTACTCTGGACATTCTTGTTTAATGGCACTGGGCTGGAGCCCCAGTATTGGTAATAAAAGAAAACAAAAACAACAACAACAAAAAAAATGGGTGACTCCAATGTGCAGCTGTAATCAAAAACCCCCAAAGTAAATCATTGGATGCAAGAAGATTACTCAAAATTCTAGATTCTCAGATTAATGACCAGTTGGGAATTTATGACTTTCAGGCTAATACAGATTATTATTGTATTCTGTGCCTTGTAAATAAAAAATGCACGTTAAATATTATGTCAAACACAGGAGACTTTGTCCTCTATACTGAAAGCTTTCAAATATTTAATTTATTCTACTAACACAGTAGCTGCCTAAACATGAAATAGCTAACTAACATAACTATACATCTAAAGTGACCAGACACATATCAACTCATTACCTTATAAATTTACATCATTTTACCATTAAATTCAAAATAAAAATACTGGAAGGCAGAGATTATTGCTTTTACTTTTTAAAATGTAGGTGGGGAAACCTGTCAGAGTCACACAGATCACAGGTGAAAGAACTGGGATTTGAACCAAGATCTTCGGCTGCCCATTGTGGTGCACTATGGCTTACACCACAGCTGCCTTGAGAACAATTTTAGCAAAACAAAACTAATCCCCAAACATTAGTTACTCTAAATGTGCCCCCGATTGACTCAGTTCATAAAGTAACAGGCTTCACATTTAATAAAAGCCTCTTATTTCACTCCAAGTATAACGGGACCAGCGGTGCTCAAGAGAAGAAATAAAAGATGTGGTCCTCCATCTTCATCACCACAGAGATGAAACTTGCTCAGTGCATCTGTGAGAAGAGCCAATCTTAAAGAATTCTGTGAGAAAGGCTTGAGAAACTATGGCATCTCCTACCTCCCAGTTGCCTCTAAACATAGCTTCTTCTGTTGTTCTTGTTCTGTCATTGTCAGAAATAATAGAATGTGATAATGCACATCAAGGAAGGGTAATTATAGACAAAACAACAGTTTTGGATTCCGTAGAGGATGTGAAAAAGGGAAATCATTTAATAAACCCACAGAACAGAACCACCGTAACATGCAGACCTGAGCTGGAGATGACATTCAGTGGTCATGAGGATCTAAGTAGAACCAGAATGATATACATCACAAGATGACTAATGGCAATGCTTGTTCAAAGATGTGTTCTGTAAGAATTTTATTTTGTTCTAAATTAATCAGTGCAGATATTATCTCTTTTAGTAAAAAAAAAAAATATATATATATATGTTATGTCAAGTTAGGTTATGTCAAGAACCAGTCATGTTTACAGGGATTGTGGTCATGTTTACAGGGATTCTGAAAATTTACATAGAATTTTCACACCTATAATGTCATTTTTGAGTCTTTGACTTACCTTTGCCTAAGGTAAAATAATTCCCATTTTATGGATGAGGAAGCTGGGCCTCAGAGATTCAGTGCCTTGGCCAAGGGCACAAAGACTGCAGGTTATAGAGCTGAGGCTGGAACCCATGTCCCCTGCCTCTTGTACCCTCCCCTCCAAGAAAAACGTTCAGTTCAACCGGGTTCACCAACATTTACTAGTTGTGTGCTGTGATTCAATATATCAGGAAAGCCTAATCAGCAACTTTCAAAGTAAATATTAATTTAGTTAATAATTACAGCACTACTTGACTGAAATTGAGGTCAGTAAAGTTTGGTTTTATAACCTGTAGAACTTGAGTGAGCCCATGTCTTGGTGAACCTTTGTTCAGGGCAAAGAGAAACAGTAATTGCTGACTGAATCACATAGCTCTAAACTTAAAGGACCTGCACCACCTTATTTTGGCTAAAATAAGCTCAGTTTTTCTCCTCAGAGCAGTGATTTCATTCCTTGAGAGACAGGTGTCACAGCTCTGTTCCTCCTCCCTTCTGCTGAACTGAAGGCCTTGCTTGGACTTTTCTTTCTACAGAATGACAGAATCGTAAATAATTTAAAAAGGGAAGGGATTGCTGAGATGAACTAATCTAAATTTTGCTTTGTTTTTTAAGAAAAAGCAATTAGAGACGTTGTGAGATAAAGTGTAACCAATGCCTCAGTACAAGACTTAGTCTTAGAATCCTGGTTTTCCACATTTCCCAGAACTTTCAGTTCAGTGACATCTCCCATCCTACCCCACAGAATTCCCTCTTGGTTCAAACGATCAGGAGGGTATCAGCATTAAGCCCTCCACAGTCACAGAGTAATATATACCTCAGCTTGTCTTGAGTTGTGACTTAGAAGAGGTTTTGGGGGCTTTTTTTCATTGATAGAATTTATTTTTTAGAACAGTTTGAGCTTCACAACAAAATGAAGTGGAAAGTACATATTTACTGCATAACCTCTCCTCACACCCACCCCACAGCCTCTCCAAAATCAACAGCTCTCACCAGTGTGGTTCATCAGTTGTAAAAAGTGTGGTTCATCAGTTATAAAAAGCTTTGGATTGCAAGTTACAACTGATGAACCAACATTGACACCTTACCAACCAAAGTTCATAGTTTACAGATTTGCATTTGGGGTTGTGCATTCTATTGGTTTTGACTAATGTATAATGACAGGTATCCACCCTTGCAGCATCACACAGAATAGTTTTACTGCCCTAAAAATCATGTGTTTTGCCTATTCATTCCTCCCTTCCCTCAGGCCCTGGTAAAAAATGATCTTTTTAGTGTCCCCATTGTCTTGTCTTTTCTAGGATGTCATACAGTTGGAATCATATCATATGTAGCCTTTTTAGATCAGTGTCTTTTACTTAGTAATATCCATAAGGTTCCTCCATGTCTTTTCATGGCTTGATAGCTCATTTCTTTTTAACACTAGATAATATTCCATTGTATGGATGTACAATAGTTTATTTTTATTTCATCAGAGTTTTGTAGATTTCCTCAAATGATATTTTACTTGTTTTTCAGACTTATACATAAGTATTTCTAGAATATTAAAAGTGACAACTTCTTTATATTAACTTTATATCCTGCAACCTTACTATAATTGCTTGTTAGTTACAGGAGTCTTTTGTTGTTTGGCTTGTGCTTAGGTATTTTGTTTTGCTTTTGTTTATTCTTTGGGATTTTCTATATAGACAATAATGTGATCTACAAACAATGACATTTTTATTTCTTCCTTCCCAATCACTGTACCTCTTATTTCCTTTTCTTGTTAATGCATTAGTTAGACTTTCCAGTACAATGTGGAATAGGACTGGTGAGATGTGACCTGTTGTCTTACTCTTGATCTTATCTAGACGGTCTCATGTTTTTCACAATTAATGAAGATGTTAGCTTTCAGGTTTTTGTAGATGCTATTTCTCAAATCATAAAATTTCCTGTCCTATTCTTAGTTTGTGGAGAGTTTTTATCATGTTTGTGTGTAAGATTTTGTCAAATGCTTTTTCTATACATATTAATATAATTGTGTCACTTCTCTCTATTATTGATTGATTGATTGATTGATTGATATTACAACCTAAAGCTTTAATTAGCTGGAGATATAAAAGCAAAAGCCATCTGTTCAAGTAATGCGGGGTCGCCTCCCACCCAAAAGATTAAAGCCTGATAAAGATCTTTTAACGAAACACGGTGTTTGCAGGGTCTCATCGTGAAGCAATGATTGCAAGGCCTCATCATGGGAGAAGATGCCAGCGTTCCACCTGATTTTCTGGAGCTCTGTGTGCTTTCTATGCTTTATTATATTTTATTCTTTGCTGCCTCATAATTATTGCTCTGGGAGATTTGGAAGTGGGATTCAAAATTATACTAAAATATTTAATCATACCAATGATATTTATGATTATGGATTTTCAGGAGATGGTTTGTGGCAGTGGGGCCCAGAAGGGGACAATGAACCTATGTAGGCATTTGTCTTGTCTGTTTCCTGAGAGTTTGGCCTGGCTGCTTGGAAGGAGTTAATGTACAATCTTTTGTTTTACAATAGAAATAGAAGTTAAGTTGTAAGCAAGTTAATTTTTAGAGTGTTTATTTAGGAATAAAGAATAGTTAGATGTAGGTGTGATTCGAGTTTTAATAACATCATAGAAAGTTTATTGTACCATAGATGTAGTTTTGGTAATGATTGCAAGTGATGACAAGTGATGATTATATGGGACCAGTGGGTTGTAACGTTCTTGCTCAAAGGAAAGGACATTGTAATTGTCTTTTCTGGGAATAAACTGTAATACTATTTTTCTTAGAACATATGTCACTTACAAAGAGATATTATGATATTGTTCATTGATTATTTTAATGATTATGTAGCCTCTAAGAAAAAGTATAAAAAGTATGTACACGTTTCAATAAAGTGTCAGCATTCAGGAGATCCCTTGAGTCTGTGTGTTTGCTGTCCATCCTTCGCCGACGCTGCCTTGCCTCCCTTTTGGGGGTTCCTTACCAGTGGGGACCTTGCAATCTCTGTGCTGGGGCTGGTCCCCGGCAAAGTAATGCTGAGAAATTGTAACGGATTTTCTTTGACATAGTGATGGATGCCCTAAAACAAACAAAAACAAGAAGAGAAGAAAAATAGGACAGAATGTTTGGTAGTTGAAAGGAGAATCTTTCCTTGGGGTATAAACATGGAAGATATTTGAAAGTCACTCACAGCAAGGAATTCTTACCCTTTGACATGGGCATTCTATAAGAAGAAAAGTCAACATAATTCAGCACCTCCTCACACTATTAAAACCTCAATTTCTCCTAGTATATGAGGACTTTCACCAATACAAAATCAAAAGAAAAATTAAAATGTCAATTTTGTGACTCCTCTTTGTTAGAAAGTTGATCTGATAGAG